TCAACAGATAAATTGAGGAACCATTTTGTATAATATAAGTTTTAACACACAAAATTTACCCTCTATAACAATGACAATTCTCTAATATGCAAGAAAGCAAATGCGTAATATATATAGCTTACCATGATGTAGGAGGGCTAGCCAGATGCCCCTGCAGAAGACATATAGGCCTGAAACATATTTTCAAATTGGGTCTGTCGAATCCTCATTTCTTCAATTTGAGTCTGCTGGGACTCTATCATCTGATTCTGTGATTGTATCTTTTGATTTTGAACCTCTACTTGCTCAAGCAGCTCATGCTGAACTCTTTCGGCCTCGTCTGCCCTCCTTATAGCCTCTTGTGTATCCAAAGTAGCTCTTTGACTTGATTTGGCAGATGTGTGGGGCTTTGGGCCATGCCCGAGACCACGTATATACCCCGACCTTGTTCCAAGCACAAGGTCGCATATCTGATCTGAATTTAACATGGTACCACCCTCTAGTATAGGTTGGGATTGCAACTCCAACATCTGATTCTGCAATTTTAAATGTTTAGTGCAACAACTCAAAAATTTGTATAAAATCTAAAAATTGAAGTATAATATACTACTCAATCTTACATATTTCAACTCAGCTTCATCGCATGACCACCCTTTCACTGGATTATAATGAGTGTCTTTGTAGAACGAAATTCGATCAGGCTCCTCATTAGTCTCTTCATTTCGCTGTATGATTTACAATTAGAATTAAAGAATATAAAGTTAACAATCATATTGTACTAAGTAAACTTGAAATCATACAATATTATATACCATTTCATATCGAGCCGCCACAAATGACTTTGTACCCATGAAGTGGGTAACTTGCAACTTGGCTCGGTTTGCCTTGTTGACTTCACATCGTTTCTGCATTGAAACAATAGGCATGTTAATGGGTTAGATAACTTTTTTATATTAAAATATTGCACATTGTAATTTCACCTGATAATCAACATCAGAGAATATGTTGCACAGATAATTCCAATCCTCCTCTTGTACTCCATCATATGGGTGCTCTCTTGCAATGTCAACATTGTCAAATTTATTAAAATGATTGCGAAGATGATATCGATAAGTCCTATATCGACATTTCATTAGTTGCTCACAACAATCCTTTATATGTTCCTGCGTCATGTCTATGTTGAATTTTGCCTAAAAATCAAAGTTACAAAAATAAACATTTGTTGTGGATAAAATCAAATAAAAAAAAAAACCTTGACTGGATTGTCACTTACTAAGATGCGGTCATAAAGGGGAACCTTATCCTCTTCATTTATGTCCTTCCATTCTTTCACCCGGAGAGGAGCATATTGGCGAACAATAAGGCCCAACTCATTGGTAAAGGTTGCTGCTCCTAGCCCAACTGGTTTTTTCTTCTGCTTAGGAATGTTGATTCGCAGCCTACCAGTGGCACGAATGATCTTTTCCAAACCAAGACCTTTTGTCTTACCTCGACCTTTTTTGACAGTGGTGGAAGCTATATAAAACACATTACACTATTAGTAAAATAATATAAATAAAATTATAGAATAATAAAAGTTATGATCTAACCGCTACTGCTCAAGGGTGTTTGGGGAATAGAAGGATCTGATGGAGTAGGAGCAGATATTGGTAATTCATTGCTCAATCGGTGTGCTCTACTTCCTGGTGCCATTCTGAATTAAACCATGCAGTCACCACAACAATTAGTTTGTTTTAAACAATGAATCCACGTATTAAAAAACATTGCATGCATTTATTGAAAATTAGACACCAAACATTGTAGAATTCTTCACTTCACTTGATGCTATTACAACTACAATTCTTTCACAAAATAATTTAATATAAATTAACAATTGGCAGTCACATGATTATGCATATCATTGGTGATAATTTACTTCTTACATGCTAATGATAATTACCATAGCATCCAAGTATTACTTATTCTTATCTTCTCACTCATTTCTATTCAAGTCTCCCACTTTTTTTCTTGATTTTCAATGATTGGGTAAGGCTTAGCAATGTATCATTTCTATGTTTGAGTATCGTGACTTCAATTTGTCATAAAGTTTCAACACCACAATAAAAAAATAAGTGCATGAAAATTAGGTGGTTTTGTTTCACTTCTTGCACATGCCAGCTTCCTTGACCTCTGTTTTGTGGGAAAAAAAGTACAGCTTTTGGTCATGTTAGCTAAGGATTTGTTGTAATCAAACCATTATGGTTGGACTAACCCATTTCTGACCAGCAACCTAGTTTATTTCGAAGACTTGGGCCATTTTACAATTTGCATCTTTTTAAGTTTATAATTGATCCCTAAAATTTCAATTATAACAATTAAGTTCTTAAATTATTAAGAAAATTTTAATTTGGCCCTTCCATCCAAATATATTAACTAGATCCCACATAATCAAGCCAAATGACCAACACATGAACTAGGATTATGATTATTCTATCAAGATTAAAAAAAAAATCCTGCCCAATGGTTATTACGTCTGCTCCTAAAGGTGATTTCCAATAACTAAGTGTTAGTAATAACCATTGAATTTGGGACTAGAAGGACAAAATAGAAACTTGAGTCATACTTGAAGGGTTGAATATGTAAATTGCCTAAAAAATATTAAAGAATATTGATCCTTCGCTTCTAAAGTATCTAGTTGATAGATAACTAACTACTTTGTGCAGATTACAAGAAATTTGATATGTACACCAAATGAGTTTCGTGATTTTATTTGTAGATCTTGACTCTCAAGCTTCATTTTAACCACCTAATTAACTAAAAAGACCTTGCAGCAAAGACCCTCTTTTATAAGGCAGTGTTAGTCGTCTGTTACGGTTGAACAGTACACAAGGAAAGTACAACCAAAGGGGGTTTTGAACGAGAGAGAAAGAGATGTTGCCATGGATGCATTTAGACATATATATAATGACAAAGGCAGATTATGATACTAACCTGAATTTTGCTGCAATAAACGGTACTCCACAGATTCTTTGCAAGAGAAAGATTGTTCTTTGGAAGGAGAGAAGCTGTGAAAGAGAAGGAGCATGCCAGAGAGAGAAAGGAGGAGTGGTGGCTGTTAGTGGGGAAGGCAGGATCATGATCGTGGGAGTGGGAGACTAAAAGAATAGGATTCCTGAACTCCTATAATTGTGTTGGCGGGAAAGGGATAAGTGTGAATGAAAGATTTGTAATCAGCTAAACAAAAAATTGTAGGCTAATTTCATTTTGTACCCAGAAAGATACTTCAATTTTCAATTTATACTCTTAAACAATTGAATTCTCAAATATTGCCCTCAATGTTATATAACATGTGCAATGTGGCCCCCATTTCAAGCTCAAAATGCACCCTCAATCTTAAATTTTACCTTGAATTGGGCTACATTGCATCTATTTCATAACATCAATGGAGTAATTTGAGAATCCAATTCTTTAAGGGTCAAAATTGAAAATTAGAGCATCTTTAAGGGTGCAAAATAAGATTTTCACAAAATAGTATTAATACGGAAAAGAAAAAAAAAAAGCTTCCCATAAAATTCTTGGGAAAATTTCAATCACACCTTTTATAGTCTACCATAAAATTCATTTAAAATTCAAGTTGATTAAAATTTATTTTTCTATGTATTAAAATCCGAGTCAATTTAATTTCATTTTTCTACATATTAAAATTTGAGCCGATTAAAATAGATTCGAACTAATTAATATTTTTTTTACGTATTAAAATTTGAGTCTATTAAAATTTCTTTTTTGAGGCATTAAAATTCTAGAAGATTTGAGCTCAATCTTGAGTTGCTACCACTGATTAAAATTCAATTCGATTCGATTACATTTATGTTTTTGTACGTATTACAATTCGATTCGAACTGATTAAAATTTTTTTTTTAAGATTTGAGTCAATTAATTTTTTTTTTTTACGTATTAAAGTTCAGATTGGTTAAAATTCAATTTGAGCTGATTAAAATTCGATTGAATGGACACACCATGTTTTATGTTAGATTTGGAGTCCCCATCTTTCATATGTGCTAGCATTACATCAGCTCAGTTGTATAGACTTCACGTGTGAGTATGCCACATTAGAGTAAAATAATAAAGTGAATAAGTCGATTAAAATAGATACGAGCTGATTAATATTTTTTTTACGTATTAAAATTTGAGTCTATTAAAATTTCTTTTTTGACGCATTAAAATTCAAGACTATTTGAGCTCAATCTTGAGCTGCTACCACCGATTAAAATTCAATTCGATTCGATTAACAGTTATATTTTTTTACGTGTTAAAATTCGATTCGAACCGATTAAAATTCACATTAAGATTTGAGTCAATTACATTAAAGATTTTTGAGCTGATTAAAATTCGATTGAATGGACACACCATGTTTTATGTGGATTTGGAGTGCTTGTCTTTCATATGTGCTAGCATTACATCAGTTCAGTGGTATAGACTTTACGTGTGAGAATGCCACATTAGAGTAAAATAATAAAGTGAATAATTTTATATTATATGAATGCGATCAAGAGAATAAAATAGAGAGATGGAGACGGTTGTTACACAAATTTGATTCGCTTTGAGGTTTCAATTAACTTCTTATACAGTTTCAACATTTTTATGTTGAATTCATTAGTGGCTAGTCTCTTGTTTGTTGGGTGAACTGATTTTTTTTTTTTTAAAAAAAACCAAGCAATTTTATTGAATGAATCTCAAAAATTACAAGAATCAAAAAACCAGAAAAAACAGCAGCAACAACCACTTTCTCCCAGAATTCAACTCCTTGTATCCCTGCAACTTGCATAAACCAGTCATCACCAGCATAGAAGCATAGACCAATTCCAAATCAACCATGGTCATAAAAAACCAACCTGCTGATCTTAGTGCAAAGAACAGGCAAGCCCCTCTGGTTTTATAGAATGAATCAAAAATTACAAGAAGCAAAGAATTTCAAGAAATTTACAATCCAACCGAAAATTCCATTTACAAGTCTTGAAGCCTTCAAAATGAACAAAATACCATCATTGCAACCTGGCAGCAAACATCTCCAATCCACAACAACAACCAGGCATCAACACCCCAACAACTATCATCAAACCCATCTCAGCAGTATAGCAGAACTGCAGCACATCAGATGTTGTAGCATAGCAAAACCTGCTTACAGCAAAACCAAATTAAAATCAATTTGAATCAACTCAAACAAAAATAACTAGATCCACAAATTTTAAATTCAATTTGTCTTTGAGAGATATTATGGTGTATACATGATATAGTGTATGTGATCTCCATGTTTCTATTGTAGGCATTTAAATGAAAACTATACACTTAATTTTGTAGAAACTATATTAAATGATTACCTTATATTTTTGAAGTTAAAAATTATCATCATCATCATCCCCATCACCATCACCATCACCATTGGCACACATATTCTCTTCTTCATCAGTACAATAATCGTCTAGTGTGTCATCTTGTCCATCACTTTCTTCACTATTTGCGTCATCTACTCCCTCGTTATCCACATCACTTGTATTAATACGATTTGAATCAACATCATCTCTATTCAATGGCCCCAATTCATGTACTTCTACTTGGACAATCCCATCAACAATGCAGGACTCATTCTGTTGATATGCTTCATCATTACTGATCACCCCTTCGTCGTCATCTCTTGGCATAGCTTCCACCTCTGGAACATCAAACAGACTCCTATGTTGCACTTTATGTACTACTTGCCAATTTTTGCCTAATTTCGTGTCATTTAGGTAGAACACTTGTTGCGCTTGGGTCGCTAGTACAAAGGAATCATTTTTGTACCATTTACGATTGACATTAACACTTGTGAAGTGTGTATCCTTTTGAATCTCTGCTCTTTTATTGTCAAGATCAAACCAATCACATTTAAACAAAACAACTCGGTTACCCTTGATTTACTGTAACTCAATAACATCAATAATGACTCCATAAAAATCAATTAGCTTATTGTCATGTTCTCCTTCTACAGTTAAACCGCTATTTTGACTCTTATGATGGTTATCACGGTCATTGGTGTGGTACCTAACACCATTAACAATGCAACCTTTATACCTAGTTGCTCGTAAATCTGGACCACATGCTAATGTATACAATTGATCAGTAGCTTCTGCAGATTTCAAATTGCGCCATCGTTTCATCTATAGGCAAAATACAATGAAACAAGTAAATAAATATATGATAATTAATATATATATATATATATATATAACACTTGTATGAAAGCCCTTACACGTCTTTCAAACCACTGAGGGAATTGTTCTTGTTGTCTCTGGTCTAAATCCATGTCATTTTCTCTCTTGAGCTCATCCATATGTTCTCTAAATGTCAAAATTACACTTATTTAGCACATAGTACACTTATATGCACAGTAACAAACATACAATAATAGAAACAAAATATTAACTTACTGAAGATATTGGGTCAATTCTTCGCAATTGTTTAGGACGTACCATCGAGCCCTTCTAAGCTCCATCTCAGCCAAATTATCATATGATGGACATCCAAAAGGACGAACCTTCTGTGAGAATACAGACAACCCTCCACCTTTTGGCTCCTGGCCTCCGTCATAATTGCGTTCCTCACGATTGAATTTTGTTTCAATTGCAGTAAGATACATTGAGCAAAATGTTAAACATTCATTAGCAATGTAAGTCTCGGCAATTGAACCTTCTGGACGGGCTTTATTGCTTACGTATCGCTTAAGTGTGCCCAAGTATCTATGGACATTTGACAAAAGAATTATTTAGACGACGAAGAGATATAGAAAAGAATTCAAACTTTATACGTACATTAACAAGTATATATCACCTTTCAATTGGATACATCCAACGGTATTGTACTGGTCTTGCAAGCATGGCCTCATATGGCAAATGAACCGCTAGGTGGACCATGACATCAAAAAATGATGGAGGAAATATCCTTTCAAGCTTGCACAATATTAAGGCAATGTCCTTTTCTAGATTCTCTAGGATTTTTAGTTTCAATGTCTTACTGCACAACTCTTTGAAGAAGAAGCCCAACTCAACCAACGCAGTACAAACATCCTTATTCAAGTATCCACGTATTCCAATCGGGAGTAATTGTTGTAAAAGAACATGACAATCGTGACTTTTCATTCCCGATATCTTTAAATCCCTTACATTCACACACCGCGAGATGTTCAATGCATTCCCATCTGGAAACTTCACCGATTTCAAGAATTCACAAAATCCTTGCATTTCTTTATGGGATAATGTGTAACATGCAGGTGGCATTACATAAGAATTGCCATTACGCTGTAGGTGTAGTTCCTTCCTTATATTCATATCCTCCAAATCTTGTCTCGCCTTATAAGTGTCTTTTGTTTTTCCAGCAATATTGAACAAGGTTCCCAACACACTCTCACATATGTTTTTCTCTATGTGCATCACATCGAGATTGTGTCGGAGCTTAAGTGTTTTCCAATACGGCAATTCAAAAAATATGCTTCTTTTTCTCCAATTCAACTCTTCGGGGGTTCGCTTTCTTTTCTTATTATTTGGGTGCTTCCCATAGCTAACATCTTTGATGTGATTTAACTGTTCAAGCACATCATCCCTAGACAATTTCTTAGGTGCCAACCGATGGTCCTGCTTACCATCAAATTTGTTACTTTTCCTCCAACTATGTTTGGGTGGAAGGTATCGTCGATGGCCCATAAAAGAAATCTTATTTCTTAATGGTTGCGAAGATTTCTCCTCATTGCAAGTAGGACATGCCATGTATCCTTTGGTGCTCCATCCAGATAAGTTACCATATGCGGGAAAGTCATTGATTGTCCATAAGACTGTTGCATGCATTTGGAAACTTTTTCCAATAGAAGCATCGTAAGTCTGTACCCCATCTTCCCATAACTTTTTTAGTTCATCTATTAACGGTCGCATATATACATCAATGTCATTACCAGGTGCTTTAGGTCCAGGAATAAGTAAAGACATCATGAAATATTGCTCTTTCATACATTTCCAAGGAGGCAAGTTATACGGCATAAGAACTACTGGCCACATTTGTATGAGTTACTCATGTTACCGAACGGATTGAAACCATCAGTTGCTAATCCAAGTCTTACATTGCGAGGATCTTGTGCAAACCACTCGTGCTCCTTGTCAAATTCCTTCTAGGCTTTAGAGTCAGCGGGGTGCCTGAATTCATCCTCATCGTCAACACGTTTTTCTTTATGCCATCTCATGTCTATAGCAACTTTTCTCGACACAAACAATCTTTGTAGCCTCGGTTTCAGTGGAAAGTAACGCAAAACCTTGTGCGGAATTCGTTTTCCCTTGCCGTCGTCAACTTTCCATCTAGATGCACCACATACGGGACAATCTTTTCTATCTTTATGCTCCTTCCAAAATAGTGCACAATCATATTGACAAGCATGAATTGACACATATCCAAGTCCTAAGTCTCGTAAAATTGTTTTAGCCTCATAATGTGACTTTGGAAGTGTCTCACCATCTGGAAAAAACTCTTTCAATAACTCAAGCATCATGCTCAATGATTTGTTACTCCAATGATTGATTACCTTGAGATGAAGCAATTTCACGAGAAAAGACAATCTTGAAAACTTCTTGCAGCCTGGATAAATTTCCAATTGTTCTTCCTTCAATAATCTATCAAATTTTTCGGCTTCCCCTTTAGTTAAATTATCAACGCTATGGTTGTCAAATGTCTGACCTGAAGAAGTATCCATAAAAGTTCCCCTGTGTACATCTTCTAGAATTTCTTGTATTTCATCAACATCTTCTTCCACCTCTATAGTTCTGTCATCATCAGCACCATCGTCATCATTGTTATCATCGTCATCAACACCCACATACATGCTATAATCAAAAGCTTCCCCATGATGTACCCACCAGGTGTAACTTTGCAATATCCCATTTTCAAATAGATGATCTTCAACCTCTTTTACACCTCTAAAATACACGTTCATGCATTTGCGACATGGACATCGAATATTATTAGCCTGACCCATATGATCACATGCATACAACTTCAATCCATATGTAAATCCCTATAGCATAGTATCAAACAAGACAAAATGAATTAATTCACCAACAAAAAATGAATTATCTTTATATTAGATATAAATATTTACCGTCAAGGCCAATTCGTTGAGTGATAATATATATCCAACTTCCTTCACTCAATGCTATTCCAAGTAAAAATCTTTTACAGGATATTTTTATATTAAAGAAAATTACTAAAGTCCAGTTAATTGAAATAATTTAATCCAAAATGTAATCCATAATAGCTAATTCCTAATACAAGAATCCACTTAATTAGAAAAAAAATATTCCAAAAAATTTGAAAAAAAAATCATTTCATCACAAAATAGACAAACTTAATTTTCAAGTAATCAATCAAAACAATCTTAATACATCACAAGCAAATTTTAAATTTTAAATTTAAAAAATTAATTTCAAATGAAATTCATAGTAATCATAACAAATTTTTTTTAAAAATTGAGATCTTTCATATAAAATTTATTGTGAACAATAAACATTAAAACTTGTCACATACCAAATCACAAATATACAGTGAGTGATGACAAATTATCATCTTCAATGAAAAAGTAAAACTATCCCTAATTGTTTCCTAATTTTTTTAGTGGGGGCAAGTCTTAAATTATTTTAAAATTTTAATTAAACCCACTAATTTTTCAAAATTTTAGCGGGGTCAAGAGATGTTGCATGAAAAATCAAAGCACAATTCCTAAGATCGTAATTAATCCACAAGATTTGACGATAAAGGTTGAATTTGATGATCAATTCGAGCAAAGCGGTGTTCTTACTGATTCTTGAAAATTGGAATTCTCATTCACCAAATAAAATAGATTAAAAGTACACTACACATATTGAAATTCAATGGACAGTCAAACCCGTTAATTAATTGAATGAACTATCACCGAAGAACAACACGTTGTAAGACAAAAGGATCAAAATAAATGATCAAAATACAACAATTCCCTGTAAGATGAAAGAATAGCATACCTTTTAACTTTACCAAACTTTGAGATGGGTGGCCTGTGAGTGAGGAGTGAATGAAAGAAAAAAAAAAAAAGGAAAGGCAAAAGGCAGAGAAAGAGATTTTGCTTTGCTGGGTGTTGTGGGATGGAGAGACAGAGGAGGGGGGAGTCAAACTTGTTGCTGCGCCTGGTGATACGTACCGAAATAAAAAAGAGAGGGTTTTAGGGATTTTGATTTAAAAATAGGGGATATGATTATATTATTAAGACGAGTAATAATATTTAGACCTAAAAATTTAAACTAATTTATTGACATAATGATATAATTTTATAGGAATCATTGTATCAACACCAAGTTTCAAAATTTAATAGGATTTATAATGAATCCAAATGTCATAGTGAATTAGGTCAACAAATTACGTCAGTAAATTAGATCTCAATAGTATTACTCTATTAAAATATTAAAAAAATAGTGGAAGAGATTTTAGGTGATAAAAAAATTAGGATCAGTTGGCATCATTGAAGGACACAAAAATAAAAAATTTTAAAGGTCAATATTATTTGTTGGATTAATAATTTTGAAACAATGTAGAAAGTTCAAACAATTTTATAAGTTGGGAATTCAAATTCTATTGGCCCTCATTATATAGATGTGTA